AATGTATGGAATAGGAATGTCCTCCTAGTCTAACGTCTGATCATAGAAGGAAGTTATTATCCATTCGCTAAAACGTTCTTCTCATTGTGTTGTGGTCACCCTTTTGGGGAATACTCGTGAATGATATATGTACACCAGCGAATATAGTCAGGCCCTGTCATGGCGGACATAGGGAAGTTTCGTACGCAATCATGGCCGCTCGACCACGACCGCAGATGAAGGCGCTATACATACACGTGTATATGTAGGACCTAGATGACAGTCTGTGGTGCAAGCGAGAAGAGAGAGTACGCTAAGCTATTTTCTGCAGTTAGTATGGCCATACCAAGTGATACTCGGATGGCTTGGGAAGCAAAAGCTGCAGATAGAAGGAAGCATAGACCTGGGAAGTACTCAAAACTACTCGAGCACACAGCAAACACCACACTGTTTCCTGGGTGTAACGGGTCTGCTTTATTAAATGGCATTGATAACAGCAGCCAACAATAAATCATGCTGAACTAAATGCCAGCGAAAGCGTAACAGAGAATGAATGACATAGCAGGCTCTAAAATTGCATCAGGCGCTTTGCCGAAAAGAGCTTTTACCATTCAAACCTCTGAAGGCTGAACCCAGTCAGAGGTGAAACGACAAACTGGGACAGCCTCCACTAATATCTCAAGGATAAGAGACTGCCTTACCTTGCCAGGAAGTCCAGGCCTGTGACCCTACTGTGTGCTCTTGAGCGCGGTGGCTGGGACCCTCTCCGCCGGGCCTCAATAATTAAAATTGAAGTCTTCTGGCACTTACCATGCGGCAGGGCACGTGAAAAGCCAGAATTTGCACATGAGAACCACATCTCACCCTACACCGAGCCCTTGAAGCGAGAGGAGGAAGTGCGGTCGACAAGGCACACCTCATTGTGTAATACAGCCTGAGCTTAGGCTGGCGGGTCTCTGGCCCAGGCAAGAAATTGAGGGTGTGCGACAGACTGCAGAGAGAGACTGGGCGTGGAGAGTAACTCATCTCAACCGTTTCAGGCTCAGTAGTCCCTGCACCCCTCTTCCGTCGGTCCTTAATGTATTGGCCCCTAGGGATTCCCACATGTGGGAAGAAGCATGAATGGAGGGAGCCTCAGAGATCAGGTTTGTGCCTACTCCTGTAGATAGAACAAGCTAAAGCAATTGCTCATACATTCAAGGGGGGGTGGAAGCGGAAGAAAGCTTCAGTGCCAAGTGATTATATAATAGCCAGTCGAGCAATTTTGTGTCATCACTACCTATACCCAACCCGTCCTAATTTCTACATTAACTCATTTCACATAACAACCCCATTAAGGTAAGATAACTGAGGAACGGAGAGATTGAAGTAACTAAAGTCACAGAGTAGGAAGAAAATGAGTGAAGATGCCAAACTTGGCATCATGCAGAAACCAGGCCTTCCCGTTGGCCTGCAGGAGGGCAGCCGCAGACCTTCAGCCTCTGCCTGCTGGCCAGGTAGCAGAGATGTGGCGAGTGCCAGGGGTTTCTCCACTCCTGCACCTTGCAGTTCATCTGCAGCTTTGAAAATGCCCTAGAGGCAAGAGCCAGGCACTGCTGACTCTGAGAGAAAGCCTTGTCCATGTGCTTACCTTTGGGCTGTCCTTTCCCTTCAGCCTAAGGCTGTCCTGGCCGGGAACCCTCCGACACACAGTGGACCTGTCAGGCTCCGCTGACCTCCCGAACTGGAACGGGTTGACCAGCCTACCTGCAGCGATGCGGAGCAGGGAGCAGCGTGGAGCTGGGCTCACAGGCCTCACGGATGATATGGTCCTCAGCTGCTGCCACACTCACACCTGCCGCCTCACCACACGGCACTCAAACGGCAACCGTGACGGCCCTGCTGCGAGATCTCACAGAACCCTTAAGGACCCAAGCGAAGTTCCCCCACGTCACGTGATTGACCTGGCAACATGGACCATCTTCTCTTGCCCCCAGCCCTTCCTGAGCTTTGTCAGCCTGCGCAAGCGCTCCCCAAACAGGCCACCTACCCACCATCTGGGTTGTGTGAGGACCAGGCAGTGGGAGGAGGCCGGAAGGGACATGGGTCAGGAACCGGGGGGGCCTGTGGCACTTCCAAAGACCATCATGGAGACAGGAGACTGTAGCTGCAGGCCAGACATGAAACACATATAGGCTCACCTAGGAACCCTTGTGGGGTACAATGAACAGGGCAGAGGTCAGGGTCCTCGTGCTAGGAGGCTCAGGCTATTCACCCAAAACTGGCCTGGTATACCCACCCACTAGTAAACGCAGACAGTAGCAACCACAGAAAGGGGGAATTATACTTCCGTTCTCTCCATCGCCCCTATAATTCCCCCTACCAGCCTTTCTGGCTGAAAGTCATCCCTGTCTAGAGGCTCCTGACACCCTCACCTCAGCCCTTAGCCTCCCCAAGAATACGGAGCAGGATATGCGCTTTTAGCCAATGGTGAAAGCCAAGAACTTTCCCAGAGCAGTGTGCCCCTACAAGTACCCAGGACTTGTTCCTGTGAAACACTTGTTATCTGGAGGCATAAAACTCCATCCAGACATGCTTGAGTGTTTTTTTCCCACTTCTAGGAGAAAATTTACCGATCTTCACAACTCCCAACTGAGAACTGGGGGGAGAAGCCGAAATCCATCTATGCTGAGGTTGGCTATGCTCATGGAGGCCCTTGGCTCCTTGACTTGACTGTGACAGGGCTGCCCAGAAGAGCCAGCAACCATACATCCTCACACCTATGTGTTGGCCAAATGCTTCGGCCCACACACATTGCGTGAAGCCAGTTTGAAACCATCCCCCAAAGCACTTCAGGGGAACCAGTGTTTAGCATGAAACCAGAGAGAGTTTTTGATCCTTCCCATCATACTTGCCATCAACCCATACTTTGAGATAACATTCCCCTTGACCACTACAGAAGCTTAAAATCCAGGCATGAAGTTGAGTCCCCAAATTCTGTTAACCCAAGTAAATGGCTGGGGAAGTCACCGGAGGCTTCAAGGAGCCTAATTGCACCGGTCACCTACATCATCTTCCTCTCCCCTCTTCAATCAACACTTCTGCTTACATTTAGAGTCCCAACTATACACAACAGGTACTAGTCCACCTAAAGATGGTTTTAGTCCAGGAGAGAAGCCAATCATTCTGACCAGAAAACAATGAAACCACAAAATGTGGCAGATCCAGCATAAATAATAAGGAAAACAATGTTCAAAATGCTTCAGGAGCAAGAGGGGCAAACCCAAGAAGGAATTTTAGAATCAGTGTGTAGAGCTTAATCCTGGGAATTTTTGCCTCAACTGAGGTTTTTACAGCAAAGTTCCACAGGGATCGGAACTGCTGATACCGAACAGCAAGTAGTCAAATCTTGCTTTTTCTTCAAAGTACACAGTTTTAGAATCTACAAAGAGTATCTATTATAGTATTGTTCATGTAAGATGAAACAATTACCAGGGGATAACAATTTCCATCTAAAGACTTGCCCCAATTATAAACATTAGTATTGGGTTTTTTTGAGCAGTCTCCCTGTTGCCCGGGCCTAGAGTCCCATGCATCAGCCTAGCTACACAACCTCGAAATCCTGGTCAACGATCCTGCCAGCCTCCGAGTACTGGACAACAGGCATAGTGCCACCATGCCTGGCCAAGATATGCTGTATGTTTGTGAATAAAAAATGTATTAATTTTGTTGTTCATTAAATCTCTTCTATTTTAGTGAGATGGTCTCGTCTTGCTCAGCTGTCGAATGCCCACTTCCCAGAAGTGCTAGATAAAGCGTGAGCCACCATGCTGGCCATTATGGTAAAGTGAAAGCTCCTACTGGCAGCTAGCAGAACAGTGCCTAGAAACTATGTACCAAATGTGCCCTGTTATAGAAAAGTGCCAATAACTTGCTTGGCTTGAGAATTTGCTTACACAGCAAAGTATTCAACAATGTGTTGAAGCCAGGGTTTCAGAACCATTGATAAAGCCTCACGGTCCTTCATCAACTGACAATCCATTCCTCGGACCACAGCCTGCGAAACAAATTAATTCCTTTCTGCTCTAACCACAGCCACTGTCAAGACAAAATATCTTCAGAAACCAAGGCTCACCACTACCCTGCCGGTATTCCCTATTTGGGTGAATTTCCTCAATGAATTTTTCAAATCAATTCTTAACAAACCACCTGTTTTATCATTCACACCAGGGTCATTGCCCAGAATGCTACCTCCTCCTCCTGGGCTGAGCTGCTGTGGCTGTGCCACCTGAACCTGTACATTCCAGCATCAGTTCTCATACTGGGGGAATAGAAGGCACACTCAAGACAGAACTGCAGATCAGAACATTCTGAGGCCTCAACTATAACTACAGAATTAACCATCCTAACAAGAGCCCAAAACCTTTGGAGGTGATTTGGGTGTATTAACAACTAAAGTCTATTTTAGCCTCCTTGGAATGTAATTCGATTTATCTCATCATTAAACGATGGAGAAACTACACCCAGCAATAACACCTCCACAGACAAAATTATCACAGGCCAGTTGCTTGGGCCCATATACTAGCACCACTGACATGCCTGGTGACTTTCACAATTGCAACCTGGATGACAGCAGTATAGGTTCACAGTTCGAAACAATTCCTGCAAAAACAGCATCTGTGGACGTTGACGCATCAGACAAGAAGTGAGTTTATCGTCAGTTATCTTCGAACGGCACTTCCCTATAAGTTGATTCATCAGAGCAGTCAAACACTCACGTCTCCGTATGTATCCAACGAGACTGACTGGAGAAACTAAGCAAAATACCGTTAGCAGCCAGAGAGACATTTAGACAACTTTGTTCCCTTATAGCCTTTGGGTTCAAGAATGCAATAGTGGAAATGTTCACTCCTATACTGATGGCTGGACACAAGTCAATGTAATAGATTACAATGCAAAAACACATCCAGCCGTTAAGATAATACAAACTAGGTACATTAACCTATCCAACGAGGCCTCTTCACCTCATTTACCCTGTCTCATCTGCAGTTGCGCACACCATCTGAACGGAAATAAAGGAATAATTTAGGGGCATTCTGGCAATTACGTCCAACACGTGGAGGTTCAGGGACCGTCAGACTAATGCATAATTGTCAGTTACGCTACGGCACTTCCTATTTCCAGTACATCAGGACAGTCGAGCAGGCTTCGCGACCCACTAAGGCCCTACCCACGGTGGAAGCACCCTCCGGCACCCAAACTGCAGCCCAGACCTTACCAGTGCCTCACACTCCTGCCACTTCACGCGGGCCGGGTACCGGGTCCCGGCTCGCGGATCTTCAGTACTTCGGTTGAACCCTGCCGAGCACGCGCTGCCGTGAGCCTCGGCCCACAGCCCGGGGTCCGGAGACGGGAGCGCCGTGGCGCAGGCCCCGCAGCCACGTGAGAGGCGAGAGACCCCCCGCCGCCGCCGCCGCCGGCCGCCCTCCAGCTAGGCTTTCCCCGGACCCTCTCCGGAGTCAAGGCTCTTCTTCTTATGCCGCCGCCAGACGCCGGGCCAAGACCTACCTCCATCGACAACTCCACGGAAAGGCGCGTGTGGCGCCCAGCCCTTAAGGAGTCGAACATCTCAATGCACTCCCAGAGGGAGGGAGATAGTAACGCTCACCAGGAAGTCCCTCCTCCGAGCCTGTGGGTCTCCGCCCACGGCCCCGGGAAGTCGGTCCACGACCGCGCGATGGGTTCAGAGCGCCGCGCGACGGTGGAGCGCGGGCTTTGTTTTCTGTTGTTCCACAGGCTAGGTCCGTGATGTAGCCACTCACGGCAACCTCAAACTCCTGGGCTCAAGCAATCCTCCTGCCTCAGCCTCCTGAGTAGCTGGGACTACAGGCACGCGCCACCATGCCCAGCTCATATATATATATGTGTGTGTGTATATATATATGTATATATACATATATATATGTTAGTTGGCCAATTAATTTCTTTCTATTCATAATAGAGACGGGGTCTCGCTCTTGCTCAGGCTGGCTGGAATGCAGACTCTTAGATAAACCTCAGGTTTTTAGTGCTGGCAACGAATCCACAAAGACTAAAACCACCGTGCAAACCAGTTTGCACCCACTGCTGCCTGCTAGGGGCGCCCACCCTGGGCTGGCAGAGCAGGCACCTGCCCGCTCAGCCTTAGGGTGCTGTGGTGCCGGGGTGACGGGAAGCCTGGGGGCAGGGCCAGAGCACCCGTGACTCGGGGCCCCACCGCCTGTGGTTGCCTCTGCAGGAAGGCGACGCTCTAGGCGCCATGGAGAAGCTGTGCCGGCAGCTGACATACCACCTCAGCCCCCACTCCCAGTGGAGGCAGCACCGGGGGCTGGTGAAGAGGAAGCCGCAGGCCT